TCTTTGTGAATTATGATATTGTATGCTTTTGATATATTCTAAGAATACTTTTGAAAATTCTAATTCAAGATCATCTGTCTGAATTACGTATTTACGATGATTCGTATTTGGTGTGCTGAATTCTATGGTGTAGATTCCATATTGTTGTGTTAAGTTACATATATCTTTCAAATAATGTTCAATAATTTGTCTTTTGATTTTCACATCTAGGAATTCTGCTTTGCATGGACTGATTCCGGGTTAAAACAAATTTACGAGTAAATTCTTGCAAAAATCATGTTGCCCTCTATTATCGGGTGTATCTATGAGGAAGGGGTAAACCTCTTCGTCATCTGGACTATCGTCACTTTGAGTGTGGCTCATTTTTTCGTTTGATGACTGTTAATATATAACTATCGATGTGTCTAATTGGTTGATTCCAATTATACAAGTGTACTGGTTTGTGTTTGTATTGCTTTTTTATTCTTCTTTTTCCTCTTTTTGATGAATTTGAAGTTGTTTCTGAATCGGAAAAATATAATTGATCGTGAATGGGACAATTTTTATCAATTGATTCTTTCAATTTGTAGAGTTCATCTAAATTGCTGGCTTCTGATTCTGAAAATGCGTTTCTATTTTTTGAAAATCTTTTTCGTGTGATTTGTCTTTGTTTGTTTATTATTTTTCTTTTTATTGTTTGTCGTTTTGTTCTAATGTATCCAACTGTTTGTGTATGAGGTGTGATGACAAGATCGTATTTTTTGTTATCTATCTCACAGTTGTGTAAAACGATTGTTTGTTTATTTCCTAGATTTTTGAATGACATAAGCTTTAGGATGAGGGATGCAAAAAGTTGTTAGGTATTTCTATTTTCTTAGACTGTTAGTCCTTACGATTTTTTGGTTAGCTTAACCTGGGTCTTTTTATTTAGGGTTGGAGAGAAAAGTATATCGATTCCGAGGAATGATTTTTTACTTTCTCGTGGCTAGTATAAGCTAAGGTGTTAACTTACTTAATCTTACTTAAGGGTAGTGATTGTGTTCAGGGTTGGAGAATAGTAAATCGATCCACAAGGTTCAGGTATAATTAGAACGCGAGTAGTTCGTTAGATACTATTTTAAACTTACTAAGTCTAAGATTTATCCTGGGTCTGGTAAGAGGGGGGATCAAGTGAAGGATGAATAACCGAAGTTCTTCACTGTTTATCCTAATTTGAATGGTTAGTTTTATTTAAAAATTTCTATTAGTCTTGGGTCTTTTGGAAGGGTTGGATAGTGAAGCGACGTTTGAGGTCGTTAGACACTTGTTAAGTGGGTGGAGGAGAACAAAATTGTTCTTTTTGATCCAAGGATAGGCCTTGATGATCAGGTTTTAAATTTAGTGAAATAGAAAATTTATTGAGATCCAAGGATAAGCCTTGATGATCTAATTTTAAAATTAAGTGAATTTAAGTTTAATTTGGTTTAAATTTATTTAAGAAAAAGATTTAGTTTTTTAATGATATTAGTGAGCTTATGATTGCTGTTATATTTAGGCGATGAAGCTGGGACAACAGATGGTTTTATGATTTTTAACAATTTATTGTCATGCTACTAATTTTTATTGTCATTTTCAATAAATATTTTTCAAACATGTTTTATATAAGACTGCAGAAATTAAGAAAACGATCTGAGATCTTTTTATCAATCGTTATTGTATATTAATAATTTTGTTAAGCGCCTGAAATGATCATGAAGATTGACCTCAAAATTTTATGTTTGCAGATGAAAATCTAAATTCATTGCTAATAAGATTCTAAATATAAAAGTTTGTGTTGGCTTTTGCCGTACGATCATAAAACTATTTGGTAAGTTTCTACTTTGTCGTATGTCGTCTCTTGTTCGAGGTCTTCTTCCAATTCCGGGTAGTTCTATTATCGTTCGGAATATCGGCTCTGATCTATTGAGTCGTAGAGACATTTCGATTAAATTATTATCGTATAACATTTTGAAAATGTTTTGTCTAAATTCTAATCTATTTTTGGTTAATTCTAAGCTATTAAGGTCTTATTCGAGACTTATGGTCGCACCAGATGAGTTAGAACCGATGTGGTTAACTCATAGAGTAATTTCGGATAGGGTACACCGTCTGCTCGTCACGCTATCTTATTTTCGGCCGGATAGATTCGTGCAACTTCTTAGTCTAATACCGATCCTAATCTTACTCTTATACTTTCTAGTCTCAGGGTGTTTAACTAGTCTCTGCTAGGCTCAATAGATCTAGGGCATACTTGTTTGTTGCGGCTGCTGAAGTTCTCTTGGAGAGACAACTAATTTCTAAGTTAAATTCAAATCTCTCTGGTGCTGAAATTACAAGTAATTTCAGCACTTACAAATAAGTGGGTTGTTAGTTAGATGGATCATGATTGGTTAATATTAAATACTTTACAGTGGTAAAATATCTAATTTATCCAATCATAAAATATAGTTTAGATCAGGTTCCAAACTATACAATGGTCTGAGCTTCGTTCATCGAATCTTGAAAAGGGGAAAAACCTAATATGGTACGCCAGCTAATTCATGATATTAAATTCAGTCAGTGTCCTTTTCAATAAAATGAAAATAACAAATGGTCGTCACTTGGATTTAGAAACAACAAGATCACATTTCAGAACTCACATAGAAATCTTCTGCAGAATATAGTTTCATATCTACAATGACAAAATTTGCATGGACTCTTTTTCATTTAAACTCCCGCCAGACATTTTTATCCCCTCCAGCTAAAAGCTCATTTTTAAACTTTGATAGACATTCACGGGAACTGCGCCCTGATTTCGAGCACCTTATGCAGTATTTGGGTGTCGCATTGTTGTCAAGCGGTTGTCAATTATGTGTGTGCGTGCTGAAACTTGGTCATCTCATCATCACGCCGTGTCCTTCGTTGAAGTCACAAGAAGTTCTGGCGTGTTGTATCCAAAATGCGAACAGTTAAGTGCGTTCATCGTATGCATCTTTCGCCAGTCTGACTCCGTCCTCGGTTCTTCTGGTCAGTTGTTTTGCCGCTATACTGTGTTGTTATTTTCTTGGGGGCGTCCGGTATGCTCGCCGTGTCCAAGGAACGTTGCACCTCTATCGGCCGGAGCCACAGCTCTATTGTGATCAGAGCAGTTGGATTTTTGGGACAGTTAAGAAGATGTAGCTCAGTGTAGTGTGCTGAGCTTTGTTTGCAGTTGGTGAGAACGTTCGGGTCTGTCCAATTTGAAAAGTATTACGGTAGTGACTGTAACCGGATCTTATTTGACCGAGGATGCTCCTAGTTGAGCGGGGGAGTGTCAGTTCTGTTGAAAAGACATCTGGTGGCCTTAGCGTGAGAACTTTTGATGGGGGCTTCATCAATGACATTTTGAACTCTCTGAGTGTAAATGTGGTTTAGAAGCGTTTTAAAATTCAGGTTTAGAAGAAAGCTGAGCTGGCTAAATCAGTTAAAGATTTGGAATTGTTTGCCTCATTAAAAACCAGTTCTCACCGTAAGTTTCTATAATGTTTGGGCGTAGTTTTCGGGCTAGCGGCTGGTGAGTGTGAAACAAAAGTATTGGACTTGAAGGCACGTAAGTTTTGAGAGCGAATTGAGATGCGAGTAGTTAATGGTGATTTCTCACATTACTTAATTTGCACTCTGAGCTTGGGTGGTCAATGGGGCTCAGTTCAGTGCACCCGGTCAATATCCGAAGACCTGCTTTTTGCACAATTTACAGTTTACTTAAGGAAGTCTCACTGGCAGCGTGGGTCCAGGCTCGACATGCGTAATCAATAATTGTTCTTATTTAAATTTTTTAAGTTACAATTAGCATCTTTCAACTGGCCCCAATTTGTACCCGACAGTGCTTTCAGGACCGATATCCTGCGCATGTCTTCAATTGCAGATTGTCTGCAGTATTCAGAGAAAATAAGAGCTGAGTCGAAATAGACACTGAGAACTTTAAGGTGCATCGTGTAAATAGAAGTACGCACAATCCCCGACGTAGACAGGACGTCCCTAAATTGCTTCTTGGATTGCCGGCCACTTAAATAGTTTGCTAGCCATCTTGTTAAGCTTTCGGGATCCGGCATCTTAGTCGCATTCACGTGACTCTGCTAGCGACGGTACCCATTTGTTTTTTCAAATCCTTCAGATGATCGTTCACTGTACTGTTGCACAAGAAATTGGTTCCACTTTCTTGCTCGCTGAAAGAATATTTTTCCGTAGCGTATTTCAGTATAATGTTTGATTGTTGATCGGAAGAAAACTCCAGCTATTCTGGTATGTGAATCATGGCCGTAAAAAACTGAGCGTACTCGGATAGTGTTTAGGGTTCGATTGCACGGTCTTCGAAACAGCAACAGTTGATGAATGCTGTTTACAATTGTTAATGAACGTCCAAAGTCTTAGTTACCTACCCATCAGCAACCTAAATAACTGTCGCAAGCGGAGCCCTTAATTGTCGCTTCAGCTCTTCCAGTTACCAATCCTTGCAAGTGCGCTATTTAGAGCCCGCTGCTGATTGGCGCTTCGGTGAAAGGTAAAAATAATCGATTGTGCCTGTCTCCTAATTTGTCTAAGTTGAATTTCGGCAGCGAATCGAAGTAAGGCAACCATAAAGTTGACTGAAATTTCCAATGTCCGTAATGACAAACCCGCTAAGTCTAATCTCAACCTTCGTTCAATCTATTAGCCGACGACTCATTTGTAGCGTCTAAAACTTCTCCGTTTGCGTCTCCCGCGTGCTGCTCTATGTTGTCTGTAGAATTGGGTTGTAATAAACTATTGTGATGGCGCTAAATAATTTTTAAGCTAAGGTGCAACGGGAAAGCATGGGTATCGGAACACACTAACAAATGATCTATTCAAAAATAAATTTATTCCCACCAAATTTCATCTAGAAAGAACAGATTTTGGAGCAACGTTTTTTTTCCAACAAATTAGAGCTTAAAATTTTCATCAACTCATTTCTCGAAACAATTCATGCAGAAAGTCGAAAGAAACTCGCGATTTACTCTCCTCACCTCTGTTGATCCATGTGCATCTTGTCCACAGTCTGTTTGGCCTCTCTTTCCACTCTCTCCGTCTGCCGCTTGCAGTCATGTATGGTCAAGTTGAGGGAGGCCATGACATTGCTCTGCTCAGCCACCATGTCCTCCAACTCCCCCAGTCTCCTCAACTCCTTCTCACTTATTGGGCCACTCTTGCTCGACTGCATCTCATTCTACAGAGAAAAAAAACACTTCGCTAGTTTGATCAACAAGTTACATATTTGATCTGCATGATATGGTTTGTTTATTCCACGGCATAGGGGGTCCAATTGAGTTGCTTTCATGACGTGAACGAGACGCGCACTGAAATACACCACAATTGGCTCCAAGATGACTTCAAGTTATCGCGATGGTTATTTCGACTTTTTGTTTCTTTTTGCACACTGACTCAGTTTTGCTATTTATCTTTCAACTACCTGTCTTCAAAATGGTAAATTCAATATTGAATTCTACAGCAAAAAGGAAATACTTTGTATGCAGTAGTAGTGCATACAGCTAAAATAGTATATAGTTGTTGCATGTTATATCCGTCAGAAATATTCATATATAGAGCGTTTATATATAGTTGCACCATTACTCTTCAACGACTATTGTAGTCTTCTTTCTCTTTACCAATAAGGAACGTTTGCTTCTTAACAGGCACCGAAACATACTCCCGTATACGGGCTAATCAACATTCCATCATATTCTTTGGTACGCTTTTATAATAATAATAATTGTAGTTCCTGCGAATCGCAGAGGAGCTATCAGTCCTGTCGAGGTTAGTCCATTTGTATTATTTCCCCACATTCCAGACTGTGTTATTTGGCTGGGCGAAGCTCTTTTTTGCGACTCAAGGCCGTTTGTTTGCGTCTAGAACTTTCACGTGGTACCACTATTGCAGCCAAATTTGGTCAGGTTGTGGTAGACCTGAAGCTGGAGGTCAAGTGAGAGCTTGTCCTCACACACTATCATTGCCATGGCATGGGATCGATTACACGATCTGACGATTTCAAAGTTGGGAGCTTTTGGGAGAGAATAAACTATACAAAGTTAAAATTATCTAGAGATTACTCGTAATCCTTCTTAGTTTGTGGGAGAGTAATTTCACAATTTCGATTCAAAAGATCATATTCTTCAAGTCAAGATTATCTTGGATTATTTACAATGTGTTGTTTGAAATTTCTTGAAATTAGCTGATGGGTCTTTTCGGTGTCTTTTTCTTCTTGTAACGTACAATCTTGTTTAACCTGAAAGAGAGACAGCTATCACTCATTTTCATTATTATACCATTTTTCGATGTGAAAGGTCTCAAACTGGTACAGTTTTGAACTGAACTTAATGCGTGCGTTTATGAACTGAAAACACGCAGAGTCCGTACAATCATTCAGCTTTTTAATCAACTTTTCTTTTGAGCAAATATTCTGTTTTTTAATTGAACATGGCTGAAGACGATATTTCGTGTAATAAGAAATTGGTTATTTTGATAGTGGGTATGTGCATGAACACAGTTAATGGACTGAACGATTTTTTCATGAGCCCCTTCCTTCCAAACTACCACGAGGAGCGAGGCGTGTCAGTGACAGCGAATGGAATCATTTTCGGTGCTTCTCCTGTCGGCGAGATTACATCTGCATTTCTTTTATTTATATTTCTCTTGCCAATTAGAAACAAGAAAACTCTAGCCCTTTCTGGCATGTTAATGATAGGTTTCTCCCAAATTTTATTCGGCCTGCTTAAAATTATAGTTCCAACCAACAATTATGTCTACATAACGCTAGCCATCATTTTAAAATTTGCAGTTGGATTCGGGATTGGTGCAAACTTTTCCGCGGGCATGCCGATATTCATGGATCTTTTCCCGGAGATGCGTGGTCGCATTTGCAGCTATCTTACTGCCACTATGGGTTTTTATTGTGTGTTTTTAGCAGTTATCGGAGTGTTGATTATTCCCAAATCAAACCCGACCGAAAGCGAAACGAATGACAAGTTTTCAGCTCAATTGGCATTCAACTTCATGTCAAACCCAGGGGTTTGTGTGGTCATTGTTTCTTCTATTCTCACGATAGCGACAATGGGCTTCTTTATGTCGGCGTTTTCTCCTTTCTTACTAGAAAAGTATGGAATTTCCTCCTCCAGATCTGGTCTGTTCATGATTCCTTTATCACTTGCACGTAGCATAATTTCTCCATTATATGGCTACTTCGTTGACCGGGGTTTTGGCATCATAACTTATCAGTTTGTTGGTGTTCTCATGACGTCATTGGGCTTTTCGACCCTCTACCTCTTTCAATTTTTAGATAATTCAACATTCAGTTTGACTTTACTTGAAATCTTGCTGTTCGTCATCAGTTCTTCATGCGCTGCAATTTTTTCAACATTTATTCCGACTATAATTGAAGTTTATCAGGCAAGTGCTCCATTTTATGACGAAGATTTCACGAGTGAAGCGTCCGTCATGTACATATTGTGTATTGCCTCTGGGCTCTTTTGTGGAAGTGCAATTTGCGGTGGTTTTTTGATTAGTTCTGTTGGATTTTACAATTCCGTTCTTATCTTGTGCTGCATGACGTTAACTGCAGGAACAATCAGTGGAACATATTTTTGGAGGATGAATTATTTCAGCCGCAGAAGTGCAACTCAGAGAATTGAGGAAAATGAAAAAACAGCAGCACAGTTGCCACTATGAGAAAAACTATCTTAATGTTCACATATCGTCAATTTTCGAAATGCTTATGCATCCGGTGATCACTAAATGCATTATTTTTCGTTTTTGTTTTGAAGACCATATGTGTTCAGCAAAGTTAGTTTGCTCACCGTCTTAAATTTCAAGACACTATAACAACGTTGAAAAATTTTTTAAAACAAAAACTCAAATAGGCTAAGAAAACGGCAGATAACCAATTTTCAGGACAAAATAAATAGGCAAAAACCAAAAGCATATTTCGCAAACCGTTGCGAATAGCTACGATAAATTGACAGGTAGTCAAACGTTTTGAATACACTCGCGAGAACACGACAAAAGGCAGCTCTATAAACTGCAATAAGAAAAAAGTAGAAATAAGCCTCGATTCGATCCTGCTACCTAGGTATTATGGGACACACAAACTAACCACGGACGCTTATTAATACATCACAAACACTGACCACAATTAAAGCAGAGAACATCTCTGATATTTCCAATGCTACAGATCGTGATTATAGCAAAAGTGCTACCAAATAAGAGAAAACTTTTAATGAACACGTATATTTGCGAGTTAGCTTGGAAAAAAAAGAAGATTCCTACTAATATACTGCGCTAGCTAGTGTAATTATCAGTCATTTGAAGAAAAAAATGGAAAATAAATCCGAAAAAAAAATAATTGAAAGGCATAACTTTTTGCTTGAGATAAATTTACACATTTTTCCTCTATATACACACCTAATTGCTATCAAATAAACATAGCCAACAGACGTTGGAAAAGGGTGAATGAACGCAAGTAAACAGAGAAAATAAGGACTTAATTTTTGAATAAAATCTCAACTTTCAAATTTCAAAGAAAAAAAGATGGCCTTAAAGCCCTTTGAATTTCTATAACAAATTATTAGTGACAGTTTTTTGAAAAATTTAACCTTATTTGAGAAAACTGGATCAATATGTACAGTTTTATTTCGCTGGGAAATTCGATAATTAAATTTCACTTTCAAAACTAGAAGTCGATCACGTTTTTCGTGAACGACTTTTACACTTTCGCTGTTCGATAGTGGAATTCGCCTTCCTTTCAACTCAACAAAACAAAAGAACTGAACTTGAAAATAAATCAAGTCAAAGAGCTAAAAAGTATTTTAAAGCCTGAAAAAGACGAAAAAAAATATTATCGCGACCTGTATAAGAGTCTAAACTACGTTCATCGACTCTTAAGAAATACAAGGTTTTAGTACAACTTGCAACTCAGTCTCAAGCCAGACAGAAAGTTAAAACACCGATTTGAAATGCTACAGAAAGGACTAATGACTGACCACTGCTGCGGTTTTGAATTTGGCGAATGACTCCTCTGCCTTGGCGGCCAGTTTGGAGTGGAGAGTGGTCACTTCAGTCCTGTGCTGCTCATTCACATCCACCAAGTCCTGTCTGGCCCGACTCAACAGCTCCTTGTACTCTTGCACCTCCACCTCCTTCTGCTTCAGCTGACTCTAAAACAACACACCAATCACACAATTAAATTCATTCTTAATTCTTTGTTTGCAACTATTGAGAAACTATGATTTTACTTTTAATTTCTTATTTATAACACTTTCTGTAACTTTTGTTGGCTGCTCATTTCTCACTGCTTTTTAGTCCGATAAGCTAATTCTAATGGTAAGCTAATTCGTTTCTCCTTAGTTGTTACCTACATACCTTCAAGTTGTCGTTCAGCTGATGTGCGACTTTAGCCGTATGTTGCATGTGTGGATCCGAACTCAAAATATCCTTCATGATTTCATCTCTGTTACTCGATGCAGGCATCCTCAACCTCAACTCATTGATGATTTTATCCCTCGCCAGAACCGCCGATTCCTTCTCTTGCACTTTCGACTCAACTATCAATTTTTCCTTCTTCGACATTGCCACTTCCTTCGATGCCTCGTTCAGCTGGGCGACTAGCTCGCGTATTTTGCGCACTGAGAACTCCAGCTGTTCGGCTATCGGTAGATTGGGATCAGGTGATTGATCGAATTGTTGATCAGACCACTTCGTGAGCTCGATCTGGAATTTAAAAAGTCACGACTCAGAAAAATAGCGTCACGGTTGCGTTAGTTTTAAGCTGCTGAAATTTGGCAATATTCAAATATTAAAAAATATATTTTCGCTTTTCTGATTTCAATAACTCTCCAAATTCCCTATCGCTTCACCACTCTCATGTAGATTTTTCAACATCGAAATATGATTTTGAATTTTTCAGAAATAAAACACACAAAGTTTAAGTAATTTCGCAATAATCCCTAAATAGCAATAATTTCGCAATAATCCCTTAAGCCCGCAATAATCCCTAATCCTTGATCGTCGTTGTTACGCGATGTTAGAGCTGCTTGCCTAACAATGATATGGTCGCAGGTTCCAAATAATCACACTTGCTGGAAAGTTATCTTCACAAAATACAGTTTAAGTATATATTTTTTTAAATTCCAAAGAACAATTAAGTGTAGTATTGGAGCAACGACTCACCGTTCGTTTCTCGTGCAGTTCCACCATCTTCTCCAGTTCCAGCTCCCTCTGCTCCCAGTAGATCTGCTGCTGCTCCTGGTCTCTTGCAGCCAGCACCTGCTGCTCTTCCAGAGTAGCCACTGTGTTCTCGTGCTGGGCCAGGAGACGCTCCAGATATCTGCACACCACACAGTCACATTACACCCACAGTAAAAAAGATAATTCATTTCTTTTTCCCTTCTAGGACTCTTCTTACAGTTTTAACATTACAAATTTTCATCAGAAAGAATGTTAATTTAGGCGCTCGCAACACAAATTTGTTTTTTCCTTTATTTTTGATAAGTACATTTAGTTTAACCTATCAAATTTCGCATGATATATGACAACTTGTAATGCCTATAGACTGTATAGTTTTTGCAAGGATCCCTCTAACCTGTTGCTGAATTAAATATGAACTGGCGTAAACTCTATTTACCTCACTTTCTCCCTGAGTCGTTCCATCTCCCTCTTGCCTTTGAGCTCCTGCAGTCTGATGTCTGTGATCTTTGCATGCCACTCTGCCACTTTAGCCGCCCCTTTGTTGTCCTTGAGAGTACTCATCAACTCCTGCAGACCCCTGTGCTGCTGTTCCACTTTGAGGAGCTGCTCCTCCGAAGAGAGTCTCTTCACCTCTGCCTCGTGCACTTCTTTCTGCAGACGTCCTCGCTCCTCGTGCAGGCTGTAGAGTGCATCCGAGAACTTCTCCTGTTACAAACAAACAAATTTGATGCTTATATATGATTCTAAAATTAAGACACAGAGGCGAAGCTGCGCTTCGCAACACAAGCAAGGAAAATGCAAAAAAATCTCTAAACAGGCAAAACAAAGTGAAATAAGGAGAAGGTTAAAAAGACACCTTGAAAAAGCTTTTTGCAAGGCTTGGGAGTAACACGTCCTCACATGTGCTTCATGACCGCTTGTAATTTTACTAACATTAGCCACCAATAAAGCAGCTGCAGTTTCTATCAAATTGCCCATTCGATGCAGGAAAAACTCGACCAAAAAACTGTAACTATTTCAAAGTTCCGGATTTGGATCTGCTACCGGTTGATTAGGATTTCCACTTCCTCGCAATCCCGCCACGGACGCTTGGAAGAAAAACTAGTTGCCCAGCTTATGCTAGATTCACATGTTTTAATATTTTGATCATAATTTGTACTGATACCGAAATGCGTACTTTTGAAAGTTTCAAAAATGGACTTTACGCATAACCCTAGTGATTTTTCTGCATAAGTACTGGATTAGCAGCATAATTTAAGAAAAAAAAACTACTAATCGATCTTTCAACTGAATTCTTTATCTCAGATTTGGCTGGGTAGTTTTCGAAAAAAGATGAAAAGATTCCAAAAACCGATCAAATATTGAAAAAGTTGGCTTTTCCTGATGTCACAAAATTTTCTCTACTTAAGCAGGGAATAGTTGTACAGGTAAGATTTCCACGCCCTACTTTTTAGATTGAATCCTTAATAGCGGCTTTAACTAGTAGCTTTCGAGAAAATTGATGAAATTTCTTTAAAAAACCGGTAAAAACTTCAAAAAATGGATTTTTCCGATGTCCATATCGGCTTTTGCTACAAAACAAATAAGACAAAACAGATTACACAGGAACAATCTAAACACAATGTTAGTTTGAATGAATTATCAACCTCAGAATCAGCAGGTTAGTTTTTGAATAAAAAAAGAAGTTTCCAAAAAACGGGCAGAAGTTTCAATTTTGAAACTTCTGCGCGTTTTTTGGAAACTTCTTTTTTTATTTTCTAAGGCAACATTTTTTCAAAAACGCAGTGCATACACGCTTGCGCAGGAAAAATTCGCATACCACGTGTTTTCTTCTGGTTGAACTCTTATCAAATAAGTCAAAAATCCCCCCACTGAAATTTTCGAAAGCCGTAGAACGTGATGTAAACTGAAAAAAACTAGCAAAATATGCAGGCACATAGAATAGCAGCCAATTTTTCCAATGCTACCATTGTTTTGAAAAATGGTTCAGTAGTTTTTGAGAAAAAATGAATTTTTTGCGAAAAGTTCAAAAATTTTCCAAAGGGTCGCAAAAAACAAAAGATAACAAATCCCATACATTTTCATAACACCTGTTGTTTTCAAACAGGACCTAACACTAGCCAAAATCAAATCAGCAATATACGCTATTAAATTACCTATGCGTAAATACGCTTAAATATGATGAAATTGAAATATACCAAAAAGGCCACTAATGAGCACTTTTATTTGCGGCTTAGGTTGGAAAAAACTTGTTCGTAATAACACAATTCGCTCGTGTAATCAAAACCGTTTGTCCACAACGGAAAGGAACACTATAAGATCTGCTTCGCTTGTCGCGAAGAACGACTAGTTCACTCTTGATTTCTTATAAGAATCAGTGAACTGAACATATAGTTCCCTGACGATTAAAAATTATTCTGAGCCATAAAATTTTCTCAACACAAACTGCAATAATCTCATCTGGCGAAATAAACCGTCAGATACAAAGCTACTCCGTGATTTTTTTTTCAACTCCCAAAGAATATGAATGACTTCGAAGAACCGACCTGTTTCTCGAGCGGCAGACAGCCGGAGTACTTAGTCCTCAGGTCCTGGATCATCTTCTTCAGGTGGATGGATCTGTTCCTGCCCTCCAACTTCGCATGATAGAGGATGTTGTCTTTCTCGTCCATCTTCTGCTCAAATCTAAGTGACTGAGCCTCTAATTTTGTCAGTTTCTCTTTTAGTTGCTGCAGCTGCATAATCAGCATACCTTCTTTGTTCTAAAACCAGAAATGAAAAGCTGCAAAACTATTGCTCAAACACATTGACCCTTGCGATCTTTCTTTAAATTGATAACAACGCCAGCAAACAAATGAACACACTCAAGGACACAAAAAACTTGACTGTTTTTTTGAAAAAAAAAGACTTAACTTTCGAATTTCAAAATGAAAAATAGATGACCTTAAAGCTCTTTGAATTTGTAGAACAATTTATGTCGGACACTTTTTTTTGTTAAAATTGAACCAATTTGAGAAAACTTGATCAATAGATAAAATTTTTATTTCACTGTGAAAATCGATAATTAAATTCCTCTTTCGAAAATATAAGAAGATCACGTTTTGGGTTGGGTGACCTTTACACAGGGCGGATCTAGTTTTTTCTTGAAAATTTTGACAAAAATCGCGTTTTTTTGGCGCGTGCTCCCCGTCAAGTTAGAATACTTTGGCGCCAAAGGCGCCTTAAGAAAAATTTGAAAAACGGTCGGCCAAAAATGGGTATCTCAAAATAGTACAAAGGGGGGACAGGGGGTCGAATCCCTGAGGGGGTGGGAGGCAGCCGCCTCCCCCCCCCAAATCCGCCCCTGCCTTTACAGGTTTGCTGTTCGATAGTGGAGTTTGTCTTCCTTTTAACAAAGGATATGAACTGAACTTGAAAAGCAATCAAAAGTCAAACCGCGAAAAGTAAATTTTCAGCCAAATGCGAAAAAACATTTCGAAGTACTGGGAAAGACGTCAGACCTCCAGCATTCTAGCGTTAAAGATTTTACCCCCCCCCCCTTCTCACCTGTAGGTTGACCTTATCGTGGTGTAGTTTTCCGAGCGCCTTGTTGTGGTCGCTGTCCTTCTGGAGATCCACCACCAACTCCCGCATGTCCGCCAGTTCTCTCTCGTTCGCCTCCCGCTGCTGGGCTATGGAGCGCACCTGAAATTCAAACACAATTGCCTTCCTGAAGTAATTTTCGCCCATCTATCAATTCTTTTCGTCAACATATTCAAAACGGGCATACTCTTAGGTTCTTGATTAATTTGGGGGTAAACTTATCACAAGTGGGTCTTCGTCGTGAAATTATCATGGTCCTCATTTATCGGAGAGTAAATAACATCCCGATCTGGAGATACAGAGTCTCACATCTTCGCATCTGCGCCATGGTCGCTGGTCTGTATACACTTAATAGACACCAATGAAGCAGATTCAGCAGATGCTAAATAATTCAAAACGCTTTGCAGCAAAATGTCGCCAAATGGACACAGTATTTTTGAGTTGGGTTGGAAAAAAAGGATTCGTATTATAACAATACGCTTACTAGCTTTTTTCTATAAAAAGTAAGTAAAGGGACCGCCTATTACAGATGATGCTAGACACAGCCAGCGAGTTTTATATCAAGAGTGAAAAGTTACCTGGATCATTTAAGTGGAAAAAGCTGGGGATATTAGCCTCGCACCAGTTGTTAATTTGCTTGCGCGCTGATTTCGCGCCCCCTCGATCAAAGATATCGCAGTGCTTTGCAGTTAAGCAAGACCCTGAGGGGAGATAATTTACTCCTTTTTGATTCAGGTTCGAATGAAGACCGAAAATTGATTTTTGCCACCGACGAGAACTTTGAACCTTGGAAAAGCAACACATTCTGGGACATGCAAATGGCACAATTGAAGGATGCCCGGCTTTATCAAATTTTTACAAGTTTCATTAGTTCTCTTTCTTCTTCAAAACAGAAAACAAGATCAAAACACTCGGGCCTTCAAGCAATTGAAGGAAATCAAGCCAGGACATATTGTAGTTTACCTTGAGGTTTCAATCAACGTTTTTCAAAAAGTCTTCTATGGAGTCACTATAAAAGGGAACGTCTTCTACTTTACTTATGCCAAATGGCGGAAAACTCGGGAGATCGGATGCTCAGAAGCCATTGATTGCTCCTACCTTAAAACCTGAATGAAAATCGGCATGGCTGCTTTATGCAGTGCAATTGGCAATAAGAGCGATGAATTCTCCTTATTGAGTTGGGTCAACTATTTCGAATAAACTTGGGTCGAAACCATCCTTCGAGGAGCCAGGGGATTGGGCAATTTCCCATTTCATTATGGGATCAGTTCGAAAGCGCCAAAAAAGAAAGACAGAGAAAACCAACAATTCAGTCGAGGGATGGCACAGGCCGTTCTTGATGGAGATGGGATGTGCTCACACTACCATTCAAAAAATCCTCTGTTCTTTAATTGAACCCTTTTATCTAATTTCTTTTAAGCTGATCAAAGGTTTTACCGCTACGAATCGTCGTCTGCTACGAATCGTCGCGTGCTTCGAAGAGTTACTTTTTACAAATGCTACAAATTTTCGCTTGCAACGAGTTGTCCCCATGCCGAAAAAGTGAGTGCTGTGTGACCATTGTACACTGTTCATTTTCTAGATATGGTATACCTGGAGGTTGGCCACTTCCACCATCTCCTTGAGTTTGCTGTGTTCCACCTTCAGTTTTGCCTCCATTGCCTCCAACTCCATCACCCTCTTCTCTAGGTTGGAGTGGGTCTCCTTGGACACACATTTGGACAACTCATCCCTCAGTCCAGACTCCGTCTGCTGTGCCTCCAAGGACAGAGAAGTGAGCTACATAGAACAAAGGAGCGACTTATTCCAGTAAATTTAACAGGCAGTCATTTATTCAGAAAAGGTTATATATTACTATTAGATTATATATATATCTCAATTAAGTTCAAGTTAACTCACAGCAGATAAGTGGAACAATTAAATTGAGACAAACCAAGTATAAGAAAGTCGTTAGATTCTTCCTTCGAACAACTCGTAAATAGTGTGTCGTAACAATTCGCGTAAAATAAATAAAAAATGTCATCCTGCGAAATATTTTCATCTTGTCTCACCATTTTTAGTTGAGTTAAGACAACCTCGAGCAAAAACTCAAGCAAGGGGGCTACAATTTTGTGACTAGGCGAGAGGAGCCGAAGAAAAAAAAACTAGTGTTTCCGTTTCTCTACCTGTGAGAACTTCTCCTCCAACTGCATATTTCTGTCCTCGAGGTCCCTCATCACCTTCTTCTGGTACTCGTACATCTTGCTCGCATGCTCCGCCTTCTGACTGTCATTCACACTCTTCATCTCCAGCATCGCCATCTACACACAACACAACACACTCAAAATAAACAAATTCCAAGGTCATCGCATCTATATCTAGAAAGCATTGCGTTTGCGATTAATTCATAACAACAATGTCGAACTTTCATTCTGGAAAGTGTACTGCAAAGAGGTTTTTGTCCCTGAATTGATATGGTTTAGTGGCATAAGTAATTGTATATCGGTACCTTCTTGGAGGCTGATATCTCGCTGGAGTCTAGCAGACTGTCCTGCATGTGTTTCTCCAGGTCTCCGTGGTTCTTGTTCAGCAGCTGCTGCAATTTGTTCAGGTTCTCCTTGTCCACTGCCCACTCCTTCTTCGTCTTGTCCAGAGCTTCCTCCAGCTTATTCTTCTCCGCCTACGTTGAAAAACATTAGCTAGACCAATGGATCGAGAAGTTTTTTCTTGGATAATTTAATCGTTTTTTTTTGTCTTGAAAAAATTTTAAAAAAAAAACGTCTCAAATTTTTGGTCAATCAATTTCAGATTTAAGCATTGGAAAAAACAACAGCTAAAGGGCTAAGATATAAAATATAAAAATTCTCATTCTTGAATGGGTCCAGAACGCTTGAAGAAAACATGTGGCTACGGCTCGAGTCAAGTTCTGGGCATGACTCTATTGGACATGATGGGTTTTTATAGTTTGACGATCATCATGTTTATTCTATGGTAGGGACTTTATCAGCGTTCTATCTGTGACTAGGAGTGGGGCTAGGATTAAGATATAAAACACATTTGAGTCGAGTGGTCGTTCTTATGCCTAGCGCCAGCCCTAACCATGGATAGAACGCTGTTCAAGTCCAAACCATGTAGTAAACATGATTGTCAGACTATTAAAACCCAATATATCCAACGGGTACCGTGCAAACATCCGATAAATCAAACTTACAACAGAGCAAAAATAGTTGCAACGATCCGAATAACAGCTTTTCTAGGGCAACCATCCAAAATCATACAATTTCTTTTCTACAGTTCGCTTAAAAGATACTGTATTGGCCAATTTAATAAAGATCGCAGTAACCGCGCTAACGTAGTGCGAGCTCTCCAACAGAGATTAGGACTCTATAGAAAAATTAGAGCCGGTTATCGACGTGAAGCGGCGATGCGCATGAAGCGCGCCCACCGTTGACCATAAACCGATAGTCGGCTAGGCTAAATTTTGGTCGGCTAATTCTTCTATGTCTTGTGTTGAAATTTCAACGTCATATTATTTGGTAACTTTTATTCACAGAGACGAAATGGATGTTGCGATAAAACAAATTTTATGAAAACATTGGAAGTCGAAAAACTGAGAAATGTTGAACAAAACTAGATCTACCAGAATTTTCGTATGTCTTGATTCTAGGCAAACACGTCAAGCAAACGAAAAAATTGCATACATCACAAAACAATCATCCGCATACGTCACAAAAAAAATCAACCGAGAAGCCGAAAAAAATTTGCAGACATACGAAAGTCCTACAATTCAATTTTTCAAGAAAACAATTTCATGCATGCTGAAAAAATACAAGTTCCGGCCGAGACTCGGGCCCTCAACCTTAGGGTTCAAAGGCGACTATGTTACCTCTCAGCCAAGTGATAACGGACCTGGACATTAAGGATCTATAAAAAAGCTAGATAGATTTGTAAGATAATTTGGTTACGGGAAAAAAGAAATCTAGTCCCAATAACAAGACACTTGCAAGTGTAACATGTTCGGATGTCTGACAAATCGCGTGTTTGCCCCTGGTTTCATGTCTAATGAAACCACGTCTAGAAACAGGCTGCATCCCTAACGAAACATAAGACAACGGAAGACAGCTGATTAAAATTGCAAATTATGTGAATAGGACATTTTGTTTGTTCGAATGAAAAACAATTTTTTTCAGCATTCTCGACACATAAAGAATCAGACATCTTAGCTTTTTTCCACTTTTTACTCTTTGTGGTTTTGCAGAGAAGCTAAAACTCATTTACCTCTAGTAATTCGACTGCGGCCGACTTGGCAACTAAGTGATTCTCTTTCTCCAGTAGATCTCTGTACTTGAGTGTAATCTTATTCAAGTCATTCTGCAACTTTTCATAATCACTTTCCGCCACAGTCTCATTCAATGCCTTCTGCAACGCTTCGATTCTATACAGAGACATCGTTTTGAACCTTTCTAAATATCCGATTCGTTTGATGACGTTTGACTCCATTGAAGTGATCTCATTGGTCATTCGCTTCACTTCTTGTTCCAGTTCCTTCTCTCTGTCGTTCTGGATTGCGTAGCGTCTGATCAGTCCTCGTTCGTTCACTCGCAGCACTGTGATTCGTCGGTTCACTTCGGCCAGCTGTTGTTTCTGTTCGTCCGGTGACATCGCCAGTGAGTCTTGTAGCCTCTGAAATTAAATAATCATTTATAGAGTTCATAAAAAACGAAAAGATGTAAAATGTCAATTCATTTCGAGTAACAAAACTAATCATCAGGACATATCTGAAGAACAAAAGAACACTGTAAAAAGAGAAATAAATTACACACACTGGTAGCACCAGACAGAAATTTTATAAAATTCATTTATAGAGTTAAGGCCAAAATTATCGTCAAAAGCACTGACCTTGAGCTTTCTAATCCGTCAAAAAAAATCGTTGATCAAAGAGAACATTGCTTTTTGAACCGTTATTGGCAGGGATACAATAATCATTTGTCTTTCTTAAGCCAAATTATTTATCAACCTAGTTTTTTTTATCTTTTTCAATCAACGGCATGATTATCTTTCTCTGATGAATGTAAACAAACTTGAAAGATATGGATCAAAAAGCAATGAGAAAGTTCAACGCCAATTTTGAAAACCCCCCGTGTGGTTCACAGATGAGCTTTGAAAAACTCCCCTTTGAACTTTCATAAACTCAATGAAAATTGCAAACTTTAGACGCAGTGCCAAACAATCGTAATCCAAACTAATCTGTCAGATGGAAAAATCTTTTCTTGCTCTATTTAATGTGGGAGGATGTTCAAAAATTGCAAGAAAAATATTTTTTAAAATTCATTCCACTCATTGAGACTTAAAGTTAACGTCCACGATATTGTTAAAACTATCACAAATTTCGCACCACTATCTGCAGCACTAAGTTTGTTACCCAATTCAGATTTTGTCCATTTGCGCGGCAACAGCTACCAACTACTCTAACAAAAACACAGTTTTAAGTTTAAAAAAAAACAGCACTTCGGTACCAGGAGGTTTAAACGCTAGACTCAACTGACCTTTAACTCTTCTATTCGGATTCTGTCAGCCTCCCTTAGCCCCTCTAGACTCTCCTTCTCCGCAATCAACTTCTTCCTCTCCCCCTCCCACTGGTCTCGTCTCTCCTTGAAGTCCTTGTAGAGCAGTCCAATCTGGTGTCTGTACACTGAGTACTGACTCTTGTACTTCACTAACTCCTCCTCCACCAAGGACAGTTTCGACTCCTGAACAGAAGAAGCAAGTTAAGACACAGAATCCTCAGTAAACAAGTGATAACAAACTTAACTCTATCAAATGATACCGGTAAATTATAGGCTAATTTTTCCACTAAACCTTTTTTTCTTATCTTAATTTCTCGGCAAGATACAAAAAGCTGTTGTTATCAATCAAAGCAAGCCTATGGATTTCGCAATTCCTCAAAAATACATCTCGGCTCATGTTGTTGCGTTTTCAACTTTGCTGTTGCGTTTTCAATGTAGCCCAGAATATTTATTTTCGTACCTTGTTGGACAGTTGTTGCAGAGTGAGTATGAGGTGTTCGTTGAGACTGTTGATGACGTCACTGGAGGAGGAGGTGATTCCCTCTGGCAGTTTCATCTGGGCCACCTGCACCACCATGCCCCCTCCCACTCCCCCATCCTCCCTCATCTCCTTCATGTCCTCCTCCAGTCGACCAATCTGAAATCACAGGGGTCAATCTCAAGGTCAACACATTTTGCTAAACTTCTGCCAGATCTTTGTTTCAGCTAATCGCCAAGTCGAGATTTACAAAAAACATGAAAAAATCGCAGAACAATTGACTAACTGGTTGAAACTGGTGCAGTCGAAACATTGCTATAAAACAAGGATAGCCGGTTGCTGTGCAAGTAGCACAGAATGTTCCGACCACATTTTCAGAAACAATCAATTTATTTTTCGTTTTTTTTTTCAAGCTAGTGTCTTTTAGTACGTCGTGTGATGATACAACTATATGAAACGTAACATTTTAGTGAATTAGGCATAACGAATCCAATGGTGTTAAAAAAATTGAACAAATAAAAAAATATTTCGAGCAATATTTTGAACTAAAAATAATTTCGTAAAAACTATTTCGAGCTAACAAAAATTTCGAACTAACAACAATTTCGAAAAAAATTGTGGATTTTTTTGATTGAATTTTTAGCAAGAGAACACCCAAATAAGCTTCCAAAACTAGTTTTCCTTTTAGAAAATTCAAGTTTTTTAAACCTAAATTTCTAATTTTCATAATAAACGTTGTTTGATTGCTTAACTCGCTCGAAAATAGACGAAAAATCAAAAAATTCATACCGGTTTTTCTCTACACTAAGAAAAATTTTTGGAAATTTTAAAATATCTTTCGAATAAAAAATAGAAGAACTTTACTATGATATATCTTTCGACCCTGTCCGATGATAATTTGAGGTACCTGATTTTGCGTGGAAAACAAAAAAGTTGAAAAAAAAAAACGAAAAACTTAAACATGCCCGAATACAAAGTTCCTCCCCATTATCAATGCGGCCATAAGCATCGCAGAAAAATAGTTATCTGAAAATTACTCAAAAACATAAAAGCAGTTGCGACTAAGGACTGCAAAATTAAGAAATACCGAGCAAATAAGATGATATGAGATCAGAGGCTCTTTTCCACTTCCCCCCAACTTGCAATTTCAGTTTTGAAAAACCATTTTAACGTTGTCATAATGCAATGAAGCTTGGCAAGGTGAATAAGTGAAAAACTGTAAACATATTTATTGTTCAACTTCATATCACGCGTTTAGCCATAATAACACGTAAAACAACTATAAAATAGAAATCTCGAAAGGTGGGGGGTGGAAAAGAGCCGAAAACTGGATCAATAATTGAAATGTATAGTTAACTGGGAAATCAAAATTAAAATTCCGCTTTCGAAACTATAAGTCGATCACGTTTCTCGTGACCTTTTCACTATCGCTGTTCGATAGTGTAATTTGCCTTCCTCAACAAAATAAGTGAACTAAACTTAGAAGTAAATTAAAAGACAATCCGCTAAAAAGTATTTTAGAGCCTGAACAAACTTCAAGACTTTTCCTGAAAAAAAAAATATCGCGATCTATACAAGAGTCTGAAATACCAAGTGTTTACCTTTCTTTTAACAAAAAAATGAACAGAACTTTAAAATAAACCAAAATTCAAACCGCGAAAAAGTAAATTTGAGCAAGAACAAATTTATAGACTTTTCACTAAAAATGGACCCTTACCTTTCCAATTTTATTCGTTTTCTCAGAAAACTTAAATCAGCACTGAAACACTCTCAATCAAATTCCACTTTTTCCCAAACCACAGAAAGCATAACTTGCCTTGTTTTTGAATCTGTCGTTGTCTGCGGCCAGTTTGTTGTTCGTGTTCCTCACTTCCCTCAGTTGTGTCCTCAACTCTTCGTTCCTGCCAGTCAGCTGGTCTATTCTGGCCTTGGCCATCAGGTTAGCATCATAGGCGCCGTCCTGGTGTCTCGCTTCCAGCAGAGAGAGAAGAGAGTCCACCGATTCGATCTTGTCAGGCACTTCCGCTGAAACACGAGCATTGCTGTCAACAATTTTACCTAATATGTTTCATTGTGTAACAGTTCGTATCCAGTTAACACGCTCCTCCCTATATCGACCAAATAAAGGTCCAATAGTCCACTATTTCATTGAGATCAAAAGTGCGCAGCGCTACGTGATATATATTTCGATTTTGATTGGCTGAAAGTTCTAACTAAGAACCAAGTTAGGGGGATGTTAACTTGGTCCATTTATTCTTTGTTTTGGAGAAACTTTTATTGAATTGCACAGATATTTCTTTCGTTATACGTCTGAGGCGTTCTATCGAACTTATGGTCTAATGATAATTATTTTGCCAGACATTAGCCAGAAAACATCTGAAATCATTTTTACCCAGTTTGATGTTCTTCAGTTCCCTGATGACTTCGCAGAGGTGTTGGTTGTCCTGCTGCAGATGGGCACACGTGGCCTGCAGGTTGTTCCTGTCAACCTCCAACGAGTCCACTCTCCTCTCGAAGTCCTGCACGTCCCGCTCGTGCGAGAACTCACGCTGCACACAAATAAACAACACTCAATAAACTGACTCTCATTACCTCAGGTCCATGTGAATATCTGTAACCCTGAACAACCAAATGACCAACCCCCGCCAATTAAATGAGCAATTTAGGTTGAGTAACCTAATATCAAAAGTTCTGAATTGTGAATCGCGAAAAAACAATGCTTTTTAGCCAAGGGAATTATCTCCTACCAAAATGATTCAGCGCCAAATTGTTCACTTGGACCAGACAACTTGCTTAACCTGCAGCATATTTCTATGCTATTCTCATTCAGTTTTCTAATTAGGAAGAATAGATTATTTTGAATGTTTCCGACGAAATCATATCTAGAGCTAAAACCATGATTATGGTACTATTGCAAATCGTATCGATTCACATCGATACAAAAATTACGTATCTAATCGTAAAAAGCCTTTTCATTACGATTTGATACTGCAACTATGCGATGAAACAAATAAGCGCTTTGATACTGCCAATAAGCGCTCCCTGTATAATCGATGATCGAATGAAGGTGAAGTTTACAGCTATGATAACCGAGTTTCGCTAATCTCGGTATATATCTACAGGTACAAGAAGCAGTAGTTGAGATTCTAAGCATGAAATGACTACACTATTCCACAACTAGTCTCTTCTGGTCAACCTGTTTAAGATGGTCATTTAGCTGGGAGAGTTTCTCAGCGACAATGTTGTCGCCGCGTTCTTGTCTCTGCTGCTTCCCGTCAACATCGCCGTGGCTCTCTACTTTTATTTTTGGGCGCACAACTACAGCTTGTTTTGAGAAGCTGGCATTCATACTTTCCTGATCGCCATACGCAAAGTTTTGCAAGTAGATCGGAGGATGCTAATAATTCACATATCATTTATTTCACAACCAGCTTTTTTTTCCTAATTGACAGTTTTTTCAGATTTCGAATAATTAAACTTTCTGTCGTTTTAAGATGATTTAAATTTCTATTTCATCAGTTCTTGTAAAACTTATCAATCAAACACTGACAGCGAGCCTGAACTTTTCTCTGCTATAGAGAATGGCGAAAAGTCCAAACAGACAGAATTATTTATTATTTTTTAAAAAAGCAAATTGACTTAGGAAAAGTGGTACCTACTTAAGCCAACTTTTGAAAAAATTCACGTCTGAAGGTCGCATGAACATGAAATTTGTATAATTTATTGCAATTGATCAAGTTTTTTGTAACGAAGTTCGGATGGATAAATAAACAAGACGGCTCATATCAGGGCGAAGCCCTGAATGTTCCGACTGTCTTTTAAAGTTTATGGAGCAGTAATAACATAAAAAAATTTAAATGAAATAAAATAAAACGAAAATTTTTTTTTCTAAAATTTGAAATTTTTTATGAAAATCATCCCCCCACACGCCAATTAAAGTACAAAAGGAAAGATTTCGCTCCTTGTAAAAAATCAACTATGGCAAACATTGTCCCAAATTGTAACAAATATTGTAACAAATCAACTATGGTTAATTGTCCCAAATTGGCCAAAATGGCAATCTTTAAACCCCCGTAACTTTCCGAAAAATGGTCACAGGTGAAATATCTTTTCAAATTTGAGCTCAGGACAACAATACCTTTCGAATGATATTAAAAAAAATTCCGTCAAAAATGGCTAGTTAAATAGTCGAAATTTGCCTGAAGAAAAAAACCCACCCAAGCACAAATATTCCGTTACTTTCGTATCGAAAGTCGGAACAATAAAAAAGCGAAATCTGAAAACTTCGAACTATTTTTGTATTCGAAATTATTATCATGCGACAATTCGAGAAATAATTCGAGATATAATTATCTTTGAAAAACAACTTAAGCATGCTAATTTCTCTGAAGTAGGTCAATTATGCGAAGTAGGTCCTATTGGGCGAAGCCGTTTCCAGCTTGAGAATACGGATGAACTTGGGAACCATCCAACCGTTACGGAAGGAAGTGGAATTCGAACGCTTGACCTTCTTTTCATTCTGTTCAAATGAACTTTCAACTCGATAGGTGTCCACTCTTATTACCTGATCTTCTCTGTAGCTACTGTGCATAGAGTGGTCAACCATGTCCCTCGGTTGTTTCCTGGGAGAGGAGGGCAGTCTGAACATGGAATAGTCTGCGGATGACATTCCTCCTCCTCTCCCACCAGTCGCTCTCAGGTTCTCAGTGAACTCGTCCACCTTGATGATCTCGTCCGCTGTCAAGCCGAGAGCTGCGGCCCTGCAACAAACGGTAGCCATATTTGCCGAAGCTATCTTAACTCTGGAGGTATTGTTCCGACCACTTCACAAGTTGTGTGCTTCATCTTTAAATTAGGCACACAACTTGATTATAGTATCTTGTTTTCTCTTTTTTTAACTACTTTTTTCAAGTTAAGCAGCGGTAGGCTTACCCAGGAGTTTAATTAACTAAGCTGAACTGAGTGTCTTAATGCTTTAGCGATGCATGTATGACTTCCACTGCGCCACAATACAACGTGTAAAATATCAGCCAAGCGACCACTACTGACCTTTGACCTTTATCCATGGCGAGTGCCCTGATCTGTTTCTTCAGATTGAGTCGCTCGTTCTCCAGCTTCTCCACCTCATTCAGCAGAATGATGTTCATGGCCCTATCCTCCTGCTTCCTCTTCTCCAACTGGCCATGGTACTTGTCCATGTCCAGGGGCTCCCCAGGGTCCAGGCCACTCTTGATGCGCAGTGCCTCGTTCTCCTCCCACAAATTGTTCATCTTCTGCTCCAGTCCGTTAATCTGACTGATCAACTGTTCCACATTACTAAACAACAAAGATTACACAGTGCTAGAAAAAGAAGATCGCAAATTGTACAATTCAGAATCTGTTTGACTGTCATGTTTAATGGTAGTTAGCCATAAAAAACAAAACTGACAACTTTGGGAGACAATTTTGGTCGTTGAAAAGAAAAAAATAACCCTTAAATCCCTGATTTAGACATTTTTGTAGAATCTATGGTTACGTGTGACTTCAATTTCTTCAGCCTCGATTTGAACATTCTTAAATGATAGATAAGATAAAAAATATAAACTTGACAAACTTCTGAAATCACATGAGATATCTACTCGAATGAACTGTCTAAACTGAATTTGTTTGATCAAATGAAACAAGTAACACCAAAAAAAACTGTTTTGAAAGGAAAAAGCTTCTTTTCACAAGCACTAACTTGTCTCTGATTCGCACTTGTTGTTTCAACTGTTTGATCTCCACCACTGCCTCCGCCAGCCCATACTCGCCCGCCTCGTACTGGGCCAGTCGCTCCTCCGCGTCACTCAAGTCCTTGTCCTTATTCGCCGAGTCTCTCTCCGCCGTCTGCTGTCGGCCAATTGCATCTTTCATGTCTGACTCAGCCTTCTGCAACTTCAGTTTCAGTTCGTTGATGCGCTCTAGGTACTTCGCGTTTGGTCCTGCAAACAGTCATCAGTCATTCAAAGAACCTCAGTCATTTACCACCCCCTAACCAGGGGCGGATTTAGGGGGAGCCCTTGCCCCAAACCCAAGAGAAAAAGAGTCCCAATTATTGGATTGGAGTGTTCTCAAGGTTCTCTTTAATTTGCTCATTTTATATATTCAGCTAACTGACCGGCGTCCTGTTTCATGTCTTCGAACATCTGTCTGTACTCCTCCAGTTCTGCATTTGTCTCGTTCATCTGCTCCATCATCTTCTGAAGATCCTGATCCTTCGCCTTCAGAGCCTACAACACAACACACACTCAATCGAAATAACTTCTACTGTTACAAAGCAACCATAGTACAGCATGAAAGATAGGTCCCGTCATTTTTATGAAAAGCTCAAAAAGCTAATTATTCAAACGCACAACCTAACATCGCAGACTTTCGGGAGCATAAACCCTTCGTCGGTGACACATAAAGGACCCAACTATCGATGGCAGGCCAACAAGCCGAACATTAAGATTAGCAGTCCTTGAAGCCGAAAAAGTGAAAATATTGTCTTGTAGGTGATAACCGGTTCTAAATTTTGCGGAGTCATACCCTATGTTGGCAAGCTCGCAACACGACAACGCAATTGCGGTTACTTCAATAATAACTGGTGCCCTGTATTTTTTAATCGAAGGTGCGCTTAGAAAAAAGACCTAATTTCTGGTATCGAGCGGCTAGGCTGGTCATCAACCTTCCAATAAAAACTGAGTTTATATGCCCCTGTGGACTAAAAAAAAGGATTATTAGCGCTAATGTGGAGTATGTTTGAAAAGTGGAAGACATCCCTGGTAATGGCGGACTTGATGTCTCTGCAACTTTTTGTAAATAAGTACTATTTAAATATTGACAATTCATTTAGTTTAATCGTTTCTCGTCGGAAATACCCCTTCAGTGTTTTACTGTAAAATGTAAAGTAACAAGACTGGTCGTATCAGGTCGAAGCCTTGAATGTTCCGACTGTCCCGCAGTTCATATCGAATAGTTTTTGGGAAAAGAAATTATTGAAAACCTATAAATTTTGGCCTTTTAAGGTCTATGGAGCAGTAATAACATCAAAATATTAGATGTAATCAAATAAAAATAATTTTTTGTATTTGAGTTTTCTGAGAAAATCATCCCTCACACACCATATAAAGTACAAATTGATAGATTTCGCTCCTAGTAACAAATAATTGTGGCAAATAAGCTTCCTTCAACCAATTTGGAACGATTTCTAAGACGGATTAAATCTCCGCTCACGCGTTAATTGTTTCGAAATGGCAATCTTTAAACCTCTATAACTTTACGACAAGACTGTTCGTATATCACGACAAAGCCCTGAATGTTCCGACTTTCCCTTAATTCATATCGAATAGTTTTTGGGAAAAGAAAATACTGAAAACCTATAAATTTTGGACAATATCAAAGTGTAAAATTTTGAGTAGTAGGAAATTACTACGACCAATTAGTTAGCCTCAATTCAATTTAGAACATTTTTGTGGCGCGGGATAACTCGCAGTGTAAAAATAATTCGCGGTACCCTCTCAGCAATATGAATAACTCTTCAAATCGCGCATAATTTAGTCCAGAATATGGCCAATTTGGCAATTTCTAAACCCCTAGAAGCTTACAAAAAATAATCGGAGGTAAAATATTTTTTAAAATTTAAACTCAAGAATGGGGTGTACAATAATTTAAACTCTTCAATAATTTAAACAATAACTTGAACTCTTCAATGGGGCGTACAACAAATCGCGCATAATTTAGTCTAGAATATGGCCAATTCAGCAATTTTTAAACACCCAGAACTGTACAAAAAATAATCGGAGGTAAAATTACTTTTTAAATGTGATCTCACGAAGTCGATATCCTCAACGGGTTATAAAAACGAAAGTAACGGAATATTTGTGGTGGGGTGTTTTTTTAGACAAATTTTGACTTTTTAACTGGCCAGTTTTGACAAATTTTCTTGTATCATTTAAAATGTATTGTTGTCCTGAGCTTAAATTTGAAAGGTTATTTCACCTGTGACCATTTTTGTTCCGACTTTCGAAGTAAAGGAAATATTTATGCTCGGTGTGGTTTTTTTTATTGAGTCAATTTCTGCTGATCGAAAAAATAGTTTTCAACAAAAACTTTTTGTGCCCCATTGAATATATTGACTTCTATTGAAGTTCAAATGTAAAACGTTATTTTATCTCCTTTTTTTGTAAAGTTCTGGGGGTTTGAAAATTGCCAAATTGGCAATGTTCTGGACTCAATTATGCGCGCTTTGAAGAGTTTATTCACAATGCTGAGAGCAAAACTTGAATTATTTATGCGTGGCAATTTATCCCGCACCACAAAATCACTCCAAATTAAATTGAGGCTAGCTGATCGGTCGTATTAATTTCGTACGACTCAAAATTTCACCCTTTGATGGTGTCCAAAACTTATAGGTTTTCAATAATTTCTTTTCCCAAAAACTATTCGATATGAACTGCGGGACAGTCAAAACGTTCAGGGCTTTGCCCTGATATCGGAGCAGTCTTGTTTGTAAAGTTATTGTTCCGACTTTCGATACGAAAGTAACGGAATATTTGTGCTCGGGGTGGGTTTTTTTTTCTTCAGACAAATTTCGACTTTTTAACTAGCCATTTTTGACGGAATTTTTTTATATCATTCAAAAGTTATTGTTGTCCTGAGCTTCAATTTGAAAAAATATTTCACCTGTGATCTTTTTTCGCAAAGTTATGTGGTTTAAAGATTGCCATTTTGGCCATTTGACCAATTTAAGACAATTAACGCGCGATATAATTTGCGCTATGAACGCGTAAGCGGAGATTTAATCCGTCTTAGAAATCGTTCCAAATTGGTTCAAAGAAGCTTATTTGCCATAATTGATTTCTTACAAAGAGCGAAATATATTGTTTTGTACTTTATATGGCGTGTGGGGGAATATTTTGATAGAAAAATTTTCAAATTTTAGAAAAAAAAACTAAGTTTTACTTATATTTTATTCCATTTAATTATTTCATGTTGTTTATGTTATTACTGCTCCATAACCGTTAAAAGGCAGTCGGAATTTTCAGGGCTTCGTCCTGATACGAGCAGTCTTGTTGGAATTTAAAGATAGCCATTTTGGCCAATTTGCATTAATTAATGACCGATATATTTCGCGCTATTAACGCTAAGCGCAAGCGGAGATTTAATCCTTCTAAATTGATTTAAGGAAGCTTATTTGCCATAATTGATTTATTACTAGGTGCGAAATCTATCACTTTGTCCTTTTTATGGCATGTGGGGGGATGATTTTCACTTATCTCAAATTTTAAAATGAAAATATTTTTCATTTTATTTTAATACATTACCTTTTGAAACAATATGAAGAAAACAATACCTTTTGACCGATATGAAAAAAAATCCGTCAAAAATGGCTCGTTAAAAAGTCGAAATTTGTCCGAAGAAAAAACCACCCGAGCCTAAATATTCCGTTTCTTTCGTTACGAAAGTCGGAACAAAAAATAAATACATAAAGACTCATTTATTCTTAAAGATGTAATTTCGAAAGGCTTTCTGATGTACTTTTTGGCTTCAAGATACTGTTGATATACAATAATGTTATGTTAAGTTAATTCTTATGTAACTTCGGCTAAAAGCTATTGCGGTTGGTTGAACATCCGCCCAACTTTCATTTTGTACCTATTCTTTAGTCGACTATTTCTGGAGTTCATTTGTGAATTTCTTAAATTTAGTTTGGCTCGAGTGCATTAGTGAGATCTTGATGGACCCAAATTCCAATAAATGCTCGATATTAGTCAATTTCTATATTTTCGCATAAATCTACCGACAACAGTTTTACTATTCTTGCAAGATATACTCCTACAAAGTTCTATTCTAATAAAACTCCAGAGAAATCTATATATGCTATCTTTTCATATCAAATATTAAACGCTATCTTTTCATATCAAACCATTCTCCGTTTGAGAGATCCCTGCAAACGTAACAGATATCTAGACTTAAGTCAATTTAGGCACGATCTGAAATTTGATGCTTCAATAACACTGATACAATTGGTAACAAGTTAATGTTAATCTAATTATAATTAAGGAAAATGAAGAGCTTCTAAAATATCTATCTATACTTGCATTTTTTCGTGTTCAGAAATGCTATATACCCATACTAGTTGAAAAATTAAACATTTTCTAAGGACAAAATTCACCTTCCTAAATAGCTCGACGCATTTCAAAATGCCGAGTATAATAAATTGGTAATCAACAACAAAACTGTTATGTTGTGAAACAAAACAGAGGATAATTTGTTGGTTATTATTATAACTTACCATTTGGAGGGATGAGAATGAGTTGCGATCCATGTCCACATTTGAGATGCCCAACTGACCCCTCAACTCATTCACTTCCCGCTCCTTCTCCTCCAGCTGCTCGTCCTTCTTCGCCACTATGTCCTTCCACTGCTGGATCTTATCGGACACAATCGCCATGATCTCCTCGTCGTTCTCTCTCTTCCCCGACAACTCGTACTCCAACTCGTCGATTCGCTCTTGCAACACATCATTCATTCTCGTCAACTGGTCCACTGTCACATCCGACGCCGCCAGAATCCCTTTGATCTTGTTATGCGCAGTCGTCATCTGCTCCATTTCGGTAATCGCGATCTCGAGATTCTTTGACAGCTCCTCGACCTCATCTTGCAGCTTCTTATTGGCCAGAGAGAGGTTCCGGATTTCGTCCAGCTGGTCCAACATTTCCTGGTTCTTCTGTCGCATGGCTTCTCTGACGTCACTGTCTTCCCCACTCTTCGAGATCATAGTGTCTCTCTGTGCCTCCAACTGCCGCTGGAACTCTCGCATGTCTTCTCGCATCTGGTCGTTTTCTCGTTTCAGTTCTTTCATGCTCTTTTCATTCTCAAGTCCATCTTTTTCCACCTAAAATGAAATAACTTTTCAAATAATATTCGCAATATACTTTTAGTGAGTTTATTGCCCAATTTAACGCATCTAAAAACCTCATACCCCTCTAAAATTCCAATTTTGGAACAAAATGACGAAAAATGATAACACTCATCAAGTATTTCGATGATTCAGAGGAGACAAACCTATACATATTGTGACATTTTTGACCGATTCAGCAGAACAGTTTTCTGAAGGGGCCAATGAATGCTTTTATTCAGGGGAACCATGAAAGTTTATGGTCAAAACTTTCCAAATAATGCCCAAAAACAGCATTCGGCTCTTTTTCTCCCCCCCCCCCCCCCCCCCGGCCTCACACAAGTACCAATTTTAGGGTGTAACGAGGGCTTTTACAAGGTTAACCATGAACACCAAACATGTTTGTCATGGCCTTAACAGCTCGCATGCCAATTTTCACAACATTTGGATGATGTGAACAAAATTTCACTAGTAAAATTTTGCAGGTGGGGGGGTGTTAATGTATTGTAATGTGCTTAATTGTCATGTGTTTAAGATTGTCATGTGTCGCGGGGTTTTGTAATTAACGACTGTTTTTATCCAACTTTTTCTCATGGTAGCAGGAGAAAATGAGCTCTTTCGTCAAAACCCCGCCGACATGGGAAACAGATATGCCTTATGACGCTTGGAAAAACGAGGTTGACATTTGGAAGCGTCTAACAGATCTACCTGCAAAGAAGTTGGGTTTGGCTGTGGCGCTATCCCTCAGTGGCCGACGTCGCGAAGTTGCTATGGAAGTGGGCGGTGAAACCTTAGAGAGTGAGAACGGTTTGAAAGATTTATTGGAAAAACTGGACAGTATATTTGGCAAAGAAACAGTTGACCAATCTTACGAGATGTACACTGCTTTTGAATCTATCTCAAGGTCCTCGGCTAGCGTTATTGAGCATATCGCTGACTTTGAGAGAGCATACACGAAAATGAAGCGGTTCAAAATGGAATTACCAGATTCTATTTTAGCGTGCAAGTTGCTCCATTCCTGTAATTTAACCTCCAATGAACGCCAACTGGTTCTCTCCGCGTCGAATGAGCTGAATTTTGACACTATGAAAAAGTCACTGCGACGAATTTTCTCAGGAAGTTCCTCCTCCACCTCGGGAGTGCAGCTAAAAGACGAACCAGCTTTCGTGGCGAACGAGGAACTAAACGAAGAATCTGCGTTGATATCTGATCGGTTTCAGAGACGCGGTCGTTTTCGAGGTCGAGGACAGGCCAGTTACAGTTTTTTGAGAGGCGTACAGAAAAAAGGTAGAAATCCTGTTGACAAAGAAGGTAGAGTTACCACCTGCACAGAGTGTGGTTCCAGAAATCACTGGTTCAGAAACTGCCCGGACAGAGATTCCGGAAAGAGTGTTGCTTCAATGCCCGCAATAGCCTCCAGTACCGTTCCTTCAAGCTGCGACTCAGGTACAGACACGCAAGTATACCTCACGTTTGCAAGTAACTGCGGGAAGTTGCTGAGAGAATGCTATGAGTCAGCAATTCTGGACTCCGGCTGTACAACAACAGTTGCGGGAGATCAGTGGGTCAAACAGTACGTATCTAAACTTTCGAAGACGCAATCAGACACTGTTGTGTACAACAAGACTGGTTGTCGCATTGTTTTTGGAGATGGAGCATGTCAAAACGCTAAATACAAAGCCTTTTTGCCAGCTAAATTTGGCTCACTTTCTTGTTTTGTGAGTTGTGATGTCATTGACGGTGAGTTGCCTTTACTGCTGAGTGTCAAATCGATGGAATCTGCCAAGTTCGTGCTCAATTTTGATGGCAAGTTTGTTGCTATACAAGAATCTGACGAAAAACTAGACCTCAAGAGGACGTCAACCGGCCATCTTCTTCTGAACATTCATCCTGGTTATGAAGATGTTTGTTTGGCAGTGTTTGCGCAGTCAGATTTTAAGAAAATGCACCGCCAGTTTGGACATTGCTCCGCAAAACGGCTCGAGCAACTACTCAAGCAGAGTGGCTACAAAAGCGCAACTTTGCAGTCTGATGTGGAAAGTGTAGTTGATGAATGCGAAACTTGCAAGAAGTTTGGCCGTGCTAAACCAAAACCTTCGGTTTCCTTGCCTCTTGCAGTGAAGTTCAACCAGGTGGTTTCTATGGATTTGCACAAATTGAGCGAGCTCGGGCCTAATACGCATTATTTGCATCTTATAGATCTTTTTACGCGTTTCAGCGTTGCCTGTATAATCCACAACAAACTTCCTGAGACCATCATAAGTGCGGTTTTGAGAAATTGGTGCCTTGTATTTGGACCACCAGGAACATTTATGAGTGATCGAGGAGGTGAATTCAACAACGAGAGGTTTCTGTCTATGACTGAGTGCTATAACATCAGGGTTATTTCGAGTGCATCGTACAGCCCTTGGTCTAACGGGGTTGTTGAGAGGCATAATGCGATTGTTACTGAAGCTTTCTGGAAAACAAGGTCATCTGGTGAGAGCACAGACGATAATTTATGTCTCCAGTTTGCCGTACATGCCAAGAATTGTCTGTCTAACGCGTCAGGTTTCACTCCTTTTCAGCTGGTTTTCGGGTCCTCCCCAAACTTGCCGAATGTAATTGAGGATAGAGATCCAGCTCTAGAATGCGTGACGACCTCAGAGTACGCACGTGAACATCTGAACCTGCTCCACAAATCTCGACAAGCCTACATAGAGTGCGAGTCCTCTAACCGTATCAAAAGAGCATTGAGAACAAATGTTCGTAGCAGCGAAGAAGTCCAATCGTCTGATCAAGTGTTTTACAAAAGATCTGAAAACCAATGGAGAGGCCCAGCCACAGTTGTGAACCGGCTAGGATCCGAGATTGTTGTGAAACATGGCGGTCAGTTGATCAGTGTCCATCCAACTCGCGTCCGGAAGTGTCAGTCGGGCAGTATAGAAACGCTGACCACAGCGGCGCATCCCGAGAACAGAACAGAAATTCCGTTAGTCATTGGTTCAGAAAGTACCAAAGTAGACACCAGAACTTGCCCATCAGCTGCAGTGGAGAGTGATGAAGAAGAATATAATGTCGCTGAAGACCGGATTCCACCAGAGGAAAGCGTTGAACAAGTAAATAATCACGCTCAAAACGGTATGAAGAAGCAGTTTCAGACGCAAGAAAGAGAAGACTATCCGAAAGTGCGTGATTTCGTGAAGTTCGTACCCAGATGTGACCCAGAGAAGTCATACGAAGGTCTAGTAATCAGTCGCGCTGGAAAAGCAACTGGGAAGTACAAAGGATGCTTCAATGTTGAATTTACAGCTCCAGACAATGTTGCTGGTATGACCGGTAACATAGATTTCACAAAAGACATGGTGAATTGGGAGAAACTTGATGAATGCCATGCGTTAATCGCAGGACACCAACCCGATCAATTTGTTGCTGAAAAGCAGATTGAGCTCGAAAACTGGATTAAACGCTCAGTTTACACGGAAGTTCAAGATGTTGGACAGTACTTCATTGATTTACGCTGGGTTTGCTCTCAGAAGACAACTGGTGCCAAGAAAGCACGTTTGGTAGCCAAAGGTTTTCAAGATATGGATTTGGAAACCCTCGTGAAAGATTCTCCTACGTGTGCCCGGGAAGCGTTCCGGCTTGTACTGACTGTCTCTGCATCGAAGAATTGGCCAGTTGGAGTTTTGGATATAAGCACTGCCTTTTTGCAGGGATCTGAGTTGAAGCGGGAAGTATATGTTAAACCACCTCCAGAAGCCGAATCAAAGTGTCTGTGGAAGTTGCATAAACCAGTGTATGGCTTAGCAGACGCCTCCAGACTCTGGTACGATCGTGTTCGCAAAGAACTATTATCCTTGTCATGTCAAGTTTCTCAGTTCGACTCCTGTTTGTTCATCTGGCGAGATCCGCAAAATAACGTCAGCGGTGTTCTGTGCGTCCACGTAGACGATTTTGCGTATTCAGGCACTGTTGGGTTCAAAAATGAAGTTATAGACAAGATTTCTATGATTTTCGATGTTGGAAAGCAGTCAGATCTGCCATGCAGCTACCTAGGCGTCCAACTAGACAGAGAAGAACGTGGCATTTTGATCCAACAACAGAAGTACATCCAAGCTATCGAGGAGATAGATGTTCCATCTGATGCGACTCGAACAGAGTTTTTGTCTAGAAAAGGCGTGAGAGACCTGAGGAAACTTCTAGGCAAGCTGAACTGGGTGTCGTCTAACACACGACCGGATATATCGTTCGAAGTTAGCCTCCTTATCAGCAAACTGCCAGCCAGTACAGTAGAGCAAGTCCTGGCAGCGAACAAAGTAGTCCGCAAGCTCAAATACGACAATTACGGAACGTGCATGACATCTCTTGGAGACGACATTGAGTCCTGGAGAATCATTGTTTTCACAGACGCATCACTGAACAACTTGGCGGGAGGAGCAACCCAAGGAGGCTACTTGGTCTTCTTGGCGAATACCAAAAACTCCAGATGCTCGCTCATTTCTTATCGCTCGCAGAAAATAAAACGCGTCGTTCGGAGTACACTCGCAGCCGAAGCACTGGCTTGCTCGGATGGTGTAGATGCTGCTTATTTAATGCAAAAGATGCTGCACGAAATAGTCGGAAAAATTGTCCCTATTGATGTATATACTGACAACCGATCCCTGGTTGATGCGACGTATTCGACAAAAGCCGTCGCAGACCGTCGTCTGCGTGTTGAGATCGGCTATCTGCGAGATTTGACTTCAGACACATCCATAAGTCTCAGATGGATATCAACCAACCAACAGGTCGCTGATTGTCTGACCAAAGATAGTCGCGTATCACGCACTACGCTGATTCGCTGTATACAACACTCTTCAATTGACTTCATTCAATAGCGGCTGTAACTATAACACATCGCTGCTTTGCGGAGCTTTCCAATTGATTAAATTACACGGGAGATTGTTAATGTATTGTAATGTGCTTAATTGTCATGTGTTTAAGATTGTCATGTGTCGCGGGGTTTTGTAATTAAC